TCGCCGCCAATGTCCCCAACTATTGGCGCCGGAATTAGAAAAGGAGGTTGGTAAGCCACCTTCTACGCTGCTGTCCCCTCCTGCATCAGATCCACGGGCGCTGCCACCTCCTTGTGCATCACATCCACTGCCTTGCAAACCTCCAATGCCTTTGCCGTATCCGAACCGCTTCCACCCCCCGCCGTCGCCACCACCTTGCAAAGCTCCGATACCGCTGCCGCATTCGAGCCGCCTCCAGGGGCGGATCCAACGTGGGTGCAGGGGGGACTCAAGTCCCCCCTACACCCACAAGACCCATGGATACCCCCGGAGCACCCCCCCCCCCCTCGATTTTTTCACCATGAATGATAAACTAAAGGTCTCTAAATGGCTGTAGATTGAAGAAACTGTGTAAGTGAGCCCCCCACCCCCCCCTAAAATTTTTGTTCCTAGATCCGCCCCTGGCCACCTCCTACTGTAGCCTCTTGAATCAGAACCGCAAGCCGGCACGCCTTCTTCGCCTAAGCTCGCGTATCTTTAATCAAAACTATATTTTTTTCCGCCGCTTCCACGTAGGGGTGGGCATATAAACCGAGGGCCGAAAACCGACACCGAAAAAACCGAAACCGTAACCTAAAAAACCGAAGTCCCGGTCTTCGGTCACACGATCAGAAAGACCGAACTAACTTCAGTGAGTTCGGTCGTTAGGGCCAGCTAACCGAAGACCGAAAGTACCAGCATTGCACCAGGCCTCCAGCCCATTGATCCCTCGCCTCCAGCCTATTAATCCCTTGGCTAATCCCATCATCATCAGAACAGAAGTACACGACCAGGTCAACAAAATAAAGAAAAGAAAGAGTCAGATCTTATCCCCTCGATCTCGCCATCTCGGTAACTCCCTCGTCTCCATGACCCCACGCTGATGCCATGTTGCGCTGTTCCCGTATCCCGTCGAGGCGTTGTGACTGGCGGGGTTGGCGTGCGGCGGCGTTGCTGATGGCGACGACAACGGCGACATACGGCCGTGATCCAATCGGAGCATCCGACTTCGCCGCGCACGGGACCACGTCCCGCCCTCCGGGAGCCAGCTCGTCGATGTCGTTGTCCTCTCTTCCTCGAGCCAATCGTTGTCTTCTTCCCCACCGAGGCTCTGCACTGCTCGTGCCTGTTGAAGGGTTTCTTTCCACCCATGCCGCCGCGTGCCTCCGGTCTGCCCTCTGATGTCTTCTCCGCTGCTCTTCAGGGCTCCGACGCGGCGACGCGTGCCTCCCGGCTGCCGCCTGCCGTTCTCTCCGCCAGCTACCTAGGCTCCGGGCGCTACATGTAGTGTTTGGTCAAACTCGGTTGAGACCGAAGACCGACCCGAAAGCTCGGTTAACCGAATTGTCGGTTTCTGGATTTTTATGGACAACTTCGGTCATCTATTTTCAAAGACCGATCTTTTAAAAAAACCGAACTACCCGACCCGAACTTTCGGTTATAACCGATTGCCCAGCCCTACTTTCATGAACGTTGCTACCGAGCAAAATCCTTCCCACCGGAACTGTCTCCTTTATCGGATCTAAACCCTCGCAACTGTCTGCCACCACATCCGAGCGGCCGCATCCTGGTGAACGCAGAACATCGAAGGGAGAAGCGGGAGCGAGGGGAAGCGACGTGGAGCACGGAGGGGCGTGCGGGGAGGATCAGGAGGAAGGGAAGCTTGCGGCTTCGATTTGACATCTGGAGGTGCGGAGAACGAGAGAGAGACGAGAGGAATACGCGAGAGAGAGGAATACGCGAGAGAGAGGTGGCAATTCCGGGAAGGGGAAGAGATAAGGGCCTTGTTTGGATCCTCCGGGCTATTTAATAGATCGGAGGATTCAAACAAGGCGAAGGTTTCTGTGGTGTGAGAGGAGAGAAAGGTTACCGCCCTCAGTACTATGGCCCACAGATAGATGCGATACATAAAATATCTAGTTTTTTAGGCTGGAATCGCTTCTTTGTGGGACAAATCCTCCCCTCCAGAAATCGCCTCTTTCTGGGACGGAGGGAGTAGTATAGTAGATTGTGTTCGCTACCACTAGTTGGGAACTTATCTCCAGCGCACGGAAAACAGAGCGATCCATTAGCGCGTGATTAATTAAGTATATGCTTTTTTTTCAAAAATGGATCAATATGATTTTTTAAGCAACTTTCGTATAGAAAACTTTTGCAAAAAACATACTGTTTAATAATTTGAAAAGTGTGCGCGCGGAACACGAGCGAGATGGGTTGGGAACCCATCCTACCGAACTATGCCTTAAAAAGAGTGCAAGAGTCAAAATTCAGATGAAGTAAGAATTACCAGAAATGGGAGGAAAAAAAACCCAAGGAACATACAAGAGCAAAAGGCGGCTTCTTACAAAGGGTGGAACTCTCAGGCTTTTTTTTCTGAGATAGAAGTAAAGTACATGGTTTAAGGTAACATCTCCAAAGGGGTTGGAGAATAACATCTGTTATGCTTCAACGTCTTGTCCTACCATGGAGATGTTATTCTCAACAGAAGCAGGCGCTGCGGCGGTCAGGTTTGCAGGTAGCTTGGGCAGCAGCAAGCCAGCAACAGCAGGCAACGGTGACGGGTTGGGCCGACGGTAGCAGCAAGCGGTTGTGCCTTGCGGCTTGGATGACAGCAACAACAGGCGGTTTGGGCGGCAATGGCGGCAGCATTAACAGGCTGTTTGGGCAGCAGCAACAAAGCCAACACATACTACATCACTAGCAGCAGGAACTGCTAGGAAGATTTTGTGACCTCGTAGCAATGTTCTGTTGTGTAGTCAGGGTTGTCAATTGCAAGATTTTGAATGAATCATATGATGTGTTAATCTTTCAATTTCATGGGAAGGGGTATTCTTGTCCTAATTTTCATAAAAACCAATCTTCTAATGGTGTTTATCTAAACTGTCAGTCCAATAGCAAGTATATTGAATTCCAACCATTTTGATGGCAAATATGCAATTACACTTTTTACAGTGGCAAATCCACGATACCGGTTCAAACTAGTGGCAAATATGCAATTGGCCCTTTTTTCCTTCCATTTCCGGTAATTCTGGTCAGAATATCTCCTTCATCGATATATATCCTCTACGTCTCTTTGATAGATGACATCATTGGCATCGCCATAACATTCGCCGTATTCAAAATATATAAATACCACTTATTTTGTTGTGACGTGTTTTATCATTAAATAAACTTTACACTTTAGCATATTTATATTAATTTTTTAATAAAACAAATAATCAAATGTTACTTTCGCCAGTTTATATTAAGAAACTAGACAACATAATTGACTTTCGCCAGTTTTACCATTTGCCGTATTCAAAATATTTATATAAATATCTCTTATTTTGTTGTGACATATTTTATCATTAAATAAACTTTTAAATATGATTTACACTTTACCGTATTTATATTTTTTAATAAAACGAACAGCCAAACATTATTTTTCAAAACCAACGTTGTCATCTACTATTAAAATAATTAATACAGAGCTAGTATAAGGCAAACTTCTTACCTTCTTTTTTTAAAAAAAAATAAAGAACAAATTCTGAATTATGACTGTAGCGACTAAACCGCGGACGGCTTGACACGAGCAGATGATTCACTTGAGCATTATGCTTTGTTCGTTCCTGGGAGACCTGGGAGATTGAGAGAGAACATCTCGTTTTCCACGCACACGTTTCCCAATATACTAAACCGTGTATTTTTTTGAAAAAAAATCTATAGGAAAGTTACTTTAAAAAATAATATTAATCTATTTTTAAAATTTAAAATAGTTAATACTCAACTAATCATGCGTTAATGGTCTCAATCCTCTTATCTCCTCTCAAACGCTCATATATGGGAGGAAGTGTGAATGGAAGTGTCATATAGTTGACTCACCCACTAGATCTCATTGCCAATAGTGATACTACATACTACTATATTACATAATACGTTAAAACGGTCAATGAGAATACCGAAAATACTTTAAATCGGTCTACTACTATACTTTATTGTGGAAAAAATCGGATGCTACTTATACTTTATGTGTTCTATTTTTTTCTCTTCACACCTACAGCCTAGTGTGTGCTTCTGCTCACACGTGCAACCTACCATGTGCCTTATGTGTAATAAAGGATAAAGTTTTATTACCAAGTTTTAAATACTTTTTTTCTTTTAAATTACTCATCTTTTCTTGAATCTATTTATACCATCGTACTAATTACAATTAAACTTCATAACAAGATCTAACATGATTATATCGTCAAAATAATATATATGTTTCGACCGTTCAAATTCGATGTTTCACGTGTGAAAAGAAAAGAGAATCTTTCAGTTGGAATCCAAATATGTTGCACATTGAATGTTTTAGTTGGAATCCAAATATGTTGGACATTTTTAATTTTTCATGTTATAATCAATTTTTATCTATTGTTGTACGTGGTGTTATGTGGATGTGACTTATTTTGATATTTTGTTGATTCATTTGTTAATGTTGCACCTTGTATTATTTGGATGTTTCAGTAAATATTAAGTGATGTTTCAATCGTTACACCCCGATGTTTCATATAGTATATAAAAATGTTTCAATTAACAATATTATCAATTGTTCTCATAATATGGTCATGCTTATAAAGATTTAAATTGAAGGGTGAAAATGAATAAAACGGCGTAATCGGATTGTAGATTGTATCAATCATTTAGAAAACTAGATTTAAAAAAAAAGTTTGCATAGAAGTGAGGCAACCCGACCCATGAGAGGAGAGAAAAATACAAGCTGCAGAGAATCATACCCCGATCCGTAGTTATCTCCTGAGAATACTAATGTCCACGAAACAACAACCCAAATTCAACCTAACACTATTTAGGAAAGACAGTCAATAAGCAACGAGATGCCATGCAGCCCAGGCAAAAAGGCGAAGAGACGCTACGGCAAAGAGATGATATTTGACCCATGCCATTTGAGATCAGATCGTAACTCCACCACTCCACCGGGCTAAGGTCGCACAAAAAATATGACATACTTTTCAGCAAAGCATTTCACTGCAGATTGATAGTATTAATTAATGCAGATAACAGGTTCAGTAGTTCTGACCACATCAGTTCTTTTTTTCCTGGATAGAACTTAACCATTTAACCAACTAAACGTGCACATGAACCCCCATCGGACTCCAAAATACTTACAACCAGCACGACATATAAAAGCAGAGCATACGTAGATACGGAGTAAGGATCTAAGCACCAAGACATCAGAGGCCTTGATGCCTTCTACTCAAAAGCCCACTGGTTCTCCCTGCGGATCTCCTCTTCCTCCTCAGGGGTGAAGTCGTTCTTGATGTTGAAGGTCTTGCGGATCTCCTCAGGAGTCTTCCCCTTGATCATGTCAGCAACAGTCTGGCAAGTAAGGTCCAGCAACCCCTTGATGTTGAGGTAGTTCGCGGCCTGTGGGATTTGAGAATCAAATAAACATGGTATAAGAAGCAGTAATCACTATGGCTAAAGCACAGATCAACATTCAGCCACAAAAGGAATACATAGTTCAACTTTGGAATATAAAAGAAAGCATAAATGTAGAAATGAGAACACTATGAACTGAAACAAATTACTTTAGCACATGATTGTGTAGCAAATCCAAATTAAAATGCAGAAATACTAGAAATGGGTACATGACACCGTGGGATGAGAAACAAACAACAAAGTTAGAAATAACAGATATATGTAAAAACTTCAAGAAAAAAGGCGAGTGTGTAGCAAATCCAAATTGAAATGCAGAAATACTAGAAATAGGTACGTGACACCGTGGGATGAGAAACAAACAACAAAGTTAGATCCGCAATAGTGGAGTACACAAATAAAACAGTGCATGTGAACAAATACGGCATTTTACAAAAAAGAAAAAAAAAAGGACCCTCCATAGAAAGAAGTTGGTATACAAACACTTGAGCAACAAGTTAAAACATGATACATTTTGTTTTGCAATAATTTAACATGCACTGATACCCCATAACCCGTCTCATTGTAAAATTGCAGTGTTGTTAATAGTCCACCACCATCAAGCAACTTAATTTAGATAGTAAATTCTTGTGACAATCAAAGAAAAAAATGAGACTGCCATCATTTCTCTTAGATCAAGAGAAGTGTTAACAATTCATGAAAAAAGAGCAGAAAGAATAAATGAACAAAATAACAGAACTGTTTACAATTCATGAACAAGAGCAGAGAGAATTTATGACCCCAAACTGTAGTATGCAATGAATTGATCAAGAGAAGAACGAATTTGTGATCACAAACTGTAGTATGCAATGAATTTATTACTGGATATCAAAGAAATATCACAGTGAAGATACAGAGACACAATTACTCAATGCCTGAAACATCATAAATTAGAGATACAGAACAAGTACTAAATCCCTTAAGATAATGCTTCACCATTTTAGCAATACAGTAGTCAATCATACATAAAAGATGCATCACAAGACTACATCAATGTAAGATCATTATCTGTAACAGCCCTAATTTCCTTATGAACATAATCATAAGGAGGCTGCATCAATGTAAGGACATAACAAAAGCAATTGACTTATGAACAGGAAAGAAAAACATTACAATCAGAAGGGAGAGAATTTATTACAACATAGAACTACAAACATATATCATGCTTGATATATGAATCTCAAATTCTTACCAACACGAAAGGAAATAATGTATAACAACAAACAGAAGGGAACAAATTTAAAGCTTGACCTAATCTACCAAATTGGCAAGCATGCATCTAAACAATCAATTTCATACTATATCATGCTTGTTATATAGAGAAGCACAAAATCCTTATGAACAGGGAAGGAATTGTGTAACAGTTAACAACAAAACAGAAGGGGACGAGTTTATTACAACATGGCACTAGAAACATATTTCATACTTCAAATATATACAATCGCAAAACTGCATAGCTCTTTATGTATTTCTTTAACTAAATGTTGTATTTAATAAAAACCCATGGTAGCAATACATCAACCGATCATACCAAAAAATCTGCAGAATATCAATTACCACATCTACGCAGTCCTGATTTACATAATTACCAGTATGAAACAAACAAATAGCAGGGCACATTTATCCAATCATATGGATACAATCATCGACCATACAGATGAGGATACAGAATCATACCGTTACCCCATCTGCACAAAGTACACTTGTTTTCCCTAATGATATTCACGCAACCATGATTTCCACAACTGACATGAATGAATGCGTGATGCATGGAAACCACATCCAACCCAGTAACAAACATACCGGATGAAATACATCCCAAAAAGCTTGGAACAGAATGCACCTCGAGCTATTGACCAAGAAAACAAATCCAGATCTAGCAATAACCGCAGATCTGAATCCCCATCAAGAAAAGGTAGGGGCGCGATGGGGGAGGGAGAGGGGGGGGCTTTTATACCAGGATGAGGTCGAAGAGGGTGGCCTGGTCGACCTTGACGAAGTCGGCGTCCCAGTTCTTGAGGTCCTCGCCGGAGGGCGGCGGCACGGCTGCGGCGGCGGACGCGGCGTCGTCGGCGGCCTTGGAGGCCGCGGCGGCCGCGGCGTGCACGTGCTTGTTGCAGTACTCGATGACCTTGGAGAGGATCTTGGAGTTGACGTTGGGGAGCGGGATGCCGTTGTCGGCGCAGTCGTCCTCGATCATGTGGCGGATCGTCTGCGACTCCATCGCCACCGCCTCCTCCACCTCGAACTCCTCCCCGTCGGAGCTCTTCAGGGTGATCATCTTCTTCTCTCCCTCAGCCGCCATCGATCGAGCCCTCCGAAATCGCTCGCGGTCTCGGTCGTCGCCGAGGAGGTGAATCGCACGAAACCCTAGCTTTCGCAGCGGCGGCGATGGGGATTGCGGCGAGATTGGGGGTTGGATTGGGGGTGGGTGGCGAGGTGGGGGATATTATTATATAGGAGAAATGGGAGGGCGAGGGCTGCGTGGGGACACGTGGAGGGCGGAGGAGCCGTCGGATGCGGAGGTGTGGACGGCCACGATTGGGTGTGATGGTCCGGGCCGCACGCTGGGTGGGGCCGGCCGAGCCCATAGAATCCGTTGCCGAATAAAAGAAGAAGAAGGGAAATAATACCACTCTATTTGTACTTGGAATAGGAATAATAGACTCCGTTTGATATTGTGCTTTTTTTTTGTACGTTTTACTAGGGTTGGGCAAATATTCCCCTTTTTTTTAACCTCTATATAGGCTGGAGATGGGTGGAATTATTGCATGAAAATTATACCGGTAAAATTGTGTTACGGAAATATGGGACAATAGGGCCAGAAATGGTAAGTAATAGAATTTGTTTTCATATTGTTTATTAATTGAGTAAATAATGAAAATTATTATAATTACATATTATTCTCTTTAGTGATAATAAAATATTTGATATTTAGAATAGGTTAGGGCGAACTTTTAAGGCTTATGTTATCAATAACTTCTCAAAGTGCATAGTTCTTAAAAAAAATGGTATAAGCATATTATATTAAAAAATATTAAATAACATTAAAAATTATTAGATGTAATATGAATTGATGGCCAAATTTCAAAACTTTGATGATATCTTCGTACCATCAAATATTTATGACCATAGAGAGTACAACTTAAAAGATTAAGGGTTTGTTCAGTTTGATGCTAGAATTAACCTTTCAACACCAAAATTTGGTAGGATTGAAGTGTGTGGGTTTTACTTGGTTTGCTACCAATGCCAAATATTCTTATATATTGTTATGTGCAAAAGTTTCTAGAAAATCACCAATTTTTTAGGATGGTAAGATATGGTAGATTATTTGGATGTCTTCAGAGTATATAGCTTAGTGGATGCTACGTAACATAAATAATAAGTACTTTTATAGCATAGTACTTGCAATTAGAGGGGAAATTTCAAATCCATCATCCATATAGACAATTATGGTTTGTTAAGATAGCCAAATCTGCATTAAATAAGTGGGGGAAAAGAATTATTACCTGCTGCGAAGTTCAGAACAGGCTTCTCTTCTCCCTTCATATAGGTCTCCTTGATCATTCATTAGGCATCGATTAAATCACGTACTGCGCTGTTGGGCTAGGGCAGAGAAATGACAGGAAATATGCTAGGTTGGCGCCAATACTTCACGCCTAGCGACGATGCGGAGAGCACAGAGAAGTGCATCCTCATTGTGGAAATAGGGAATGAGGTCATGTAACCGGTGGCAGGAGGAGAGCAAAGAAATATGGGTTGTAGGATACAACATGCCCCCAACGGTAGGGTTTTATGTAAAAAATGCTTAGCCAGTAGTTTTGTGATAGGTGTGCCTATTTACTCTTGAGAATAAGAATATGGGGATTGTGTCAATGACCAATTAGCACAATTTTGAGTAGGTCCTCTCCCAAAGATCCATTTTTTATGTGTGTTAAGCTAAAACAATATAATCACGATATTATTACAAAATTTTGCTAACATGCTTTTATCATACAAATTGTTCATATGTTCCCGTGCGAGGCAAGAAAAGAAGATATGGGGTCGAGCACCACTTAAGGCTGCGTTCGAGAGAAAAGGTTGGGAACTTCTCTTTCATACACGGAAAATGAGGTGGCTCATTAGCACATGATTAACTAAGTTTTAACTTAAATAAACTTGAAACCGGATTAATATAAGTTTTCAAAAACAATTTCACTTAAGTTTTTATTTTGCAAAAAAGTTGCATTGTTCAGTAGTTCGGAAAACGTGCTACGGAAAATGAGATATTAGAAGATGGAAACTTGTAGTTCCGAACGCAAACCTTAGGCAATGTCTGGCATTGCATTTTGGTAACTAATCCTCCAAGCAAAACAGAAGGACTCATTAGCACAAGTTTAATTAACTAAACAAACTTGAAAATAGATTAATATGATTTTTTAAAGCAACTTTCCTAATTTTTTTAATAGTTTAGCAATTTGAAAAATGTGCACACGAAAAACGAGGAAACATAAGTTAGGAAAAGGAGTATAGCACGCAAGTATATGACATGTTTAAGGAAATTCAGTCATTTAAAACTCAATATCAAATTACATTTTTAAAAAACTCAAGAATGAATAGTTATGTTTTGGTTGGTTCGGTCCGGTCTTTAGTCATAACCGAAATGTGTGGTAGTAAAATTGTAGCAACTTTTCTCTCTGCAGAACATATATGTTGACAATTAAATAGCACATATAACACATCAACTCATCAAGAGCATCAATCATAGTAATCTAGTATACTTAAACAATTGATCCCCACTAACTGTAATCAATACCAATTCTTTGTTCTCTGGTGTAATCAATAGTACCAATTTTTTGTTCTATGGTGCAGCCACATCATCTTACTTTATGCTAACCGTTGGATCTAACTTGTGTGTCTAGATTAGCTCCTAATCACCAAGTAGCAACCAGCCATATTTGATCTTCTGTTAATGTTAGACCAAGCCTAGCCCATCTACACTTCTTTACACCGGCCGGTTCCTCTTCTATTGTCATGCATGCATGCAACCATTACAACAGATGATCAATTGATCTCCTGAAACTGCCTTCTTTCCTCTTCTGAAACTGCCTTCTTTCCCCTATGTAATACTTCTGGTCATTAAGTGATCTTCAGAGATTGCAGTTACTTTTTCTATCTCTTAGACTATAAAAATAGTTAGACTATTGCATAAACTTCTCACTTCAAACCACATATTGCCCTCCGCTTTCCCTTCAATGTTAGTACATGTGTTCTTTGTCTGACTTTTATATTATATATGCATCAATTCGATCACACGATACCATTGATTTGGTGAGTTAGTCTCAGATTTTAAAGATGTTCTGTTTTTCTCCCCATTTGAGATTGCTCGTGGGTGTTTTTCTTTGGCAAATTGGTTGCTTGATTTTATTTTGTGCGGTTACTCATTTTGCTTAAGTGCAACACACTCTATCAAGTAGGTTTACATTTTGGTACGAACATTTGGGTCTGTCCCATGCAATTCATTTTAATTTTGAATTTACTATATTTTTCAACCATTCTTACATGTTTACAACGGTCAACGATATTATTATGGTAGTTTGCCTTTTACCGCATTAATGGCTAATGCACTAAACTTTGACAGGGAATTTTTTGTTTAATCTGTAATGATGTGGATATGAAAAGGATATATGAAAGGACAAGAATCAGCTAGCCCTAACGAAGAACATGGGTTATATAGATCACAGATTTGTTATCCACAATCAATTTTGTTTCTTTGGTACGGAGTATGTTTTTTCATTTAGTGTACAATATTGAGTGTTGTGGAGCATAATTAATATTTTTCCATATGTTCATCCTATAGTGCCGCAGCAACACACATGGCTTTTGACTAGATTTAACTTACAACTTAACACCGATCAAGATACATAATTAGGTCTATTTCCTAATGTCAATTAATCGAGAGTGCTAACCGAATTATAACCAAATTAATTTCGGTTGGTTGAAGAGCCTAACAAAAATTTCTGTCTATGAGCAAGTTTTATAGAAGAGGCAAATGCCACCCCTAATTTTATCCATGTAAGTTAAGTTGTAACTCCTACTCTCTCTTTTCTTCTCCCCTCCACCTTACCATATTAGTTTAGATAGCATATTACTTGCTCTAATAAGAGCATCTCCAACAAAATTGGCTATTTTTGTGGAAGAGGGTATTAACCTGTAGGCTGTAGGAGTCGGTGTGGATTGGGCGACGATGGCAGGGCTCTTGATGACGGTGGAAACCGGAGAGACGACGGTAGCATCGAGCGCTTGATCCGGGGCCAACAACTTTCAGTCTGGGGATGGCGGCGGCCACAACAGTGGACGATGGCGCGGCGATGGACAAGGGGCGTAGCAGATAGACGCCGGTGGCGGCGCGCAATAGGGTCATGCGTTGGATCTAGGAAGGGGGCGATGGCCGTGCGCTCAATCGCACACTAGATCTGGGAAGGGGGTGGTGGCCTCGTGCTCGATCTAGGAGCGCAGGGAGGGTGCTCGATCTGGGATGGAAAGACAATACATACAGGAAAGGAGAAAGGGGAAAATGTGTGGGGCCCATGCGTGGTAAGACAACTTTGTCATTTTGGTTGGCCAACTTTAGCTAACGCATAGAGGACTTTGGCCAGTCGGATGGTTTTCATCCGGTTGGCAAGTTTGTTGGATTAGGATTTTGATTCAAAAATATCAAAATTTAATTTGAAGAATGAGATAGCCACTCTGTTGGCTTCAAGTTTTAACCTTTATTTTTTTCACACCGCGGCCACACCGCGTCCGCAATGCCTCCATTTCTTCCTCCAACTCAAATAACCCAATAATACATATAGTCCCCAGCCCAGCCTGCTCCATCCGAAGGCCCAACCCCGCTCGCGCCAGATCCCCCCAAACCCAATCGATCCCCATCGATCACCGCGCTCCCCCCGGCGCCGCCGCGGCGAGAGGTAGGGTTTGCTCGACGACGCGAGGGGGAGCGACCACCGCCCGCGACCCGATAGGAGGGATGGCGGCGGCCGAGGGCGAGAAGAAGATGACCAGTTTTATCGCGAAGAGCTCCGGCGCCGAGGAGTTCGAGGCGGGGGCCATCCGCCGCGCGATCGAGGACGACTGCGACGACGACGACAGCGGCATCCTGCCCCCCGACGTCCTCTCCGGCGAGGGCCTCGATAACCGCGACGCCGGCTTCCCGGTAAAGCCTCCCCCCCCTTCCCCCTCCCCATTCGTGCCCTTCTCCTCGAATCCGAAGGGATTCGGATTCCCTTTCCCATCCCAAATTCGTGCCTCCCTTCTCGAAGGGATTCACAGATCTTGCTGGAATAGTTGCAGTCAGGTTTACGTAATAGCTCGAGGTGCATTCTCTTCGCAGCGCAGGGATGACTAGAAAGAGGGTGGGGGTTCGGTTGAGTTCTGTGGAAACCAAGACCAATTTCAGGGAACTGATATAACTGGATTTTTCCCCCCATTTTGGATGAAACTATGCTAATTGAATTCTTCGACTGAAAGATGCCCTGTTGGGGGGAACACTATATTGAGATGGTTTACATGTGTCATGGATTCTTGCTAGTTCTGAAAATTGCAGTTCAATATTCTTTGTATTAAAAGAAGGTGAAAGAAGAAGCATAGAATGGGAGGATCAGCTTTGAAGAACTGACCAGAAAAGAGTCAACAACCAGAAAAGGAAAGGGAGAAAAATTAAGAACGCTGCTATACATACGACGCTAGCGTTAGACTGATGTCCGACTCCGTTACGGCATCACCTGCGCATGTCAGATTCTATCACGGAGTGAGACATTTGCCGTCTGAGCCTTTCATTGTGGCCATGGTCGTACACAGTAGCCGGACAACAAGGTCATACGTATATCATTTTCAAAAAAGGAAACCAGGCTAAATCTCGTGACAGTGATTACTGATAAGACAACCTAAGAAACTTAATCAAGGGATTACAACATCCTGAAACACCACTCAGGATAGATAGATTTAAGAGTTTAGCCCCATGGGCGATTTACATGCATAATGCTAGAAAAGAGTGATCTAATTCTATGGATTGTTGCAATGCATTATCATTTCTGTATCTACATTTTGAAGAATATTTGCTACCTACACGTTATTGTTATCTCATCACAAGTCACATATGCAATACTCCTGCTTGTGTAGTGTTAGGAGTAGGTTACCAAATGCATAAAAAACGTTATTAACAAGTGAGCTGTGCATTTTAAGTTCATATCAAAGTATCAAACATTTATGCCTGTTTGTATCCCTGCTTTGAGCTATGCATGCTTTTCAATGGTTTAATTTTGTTTTTGATGAATCTTATAATGCCCTGTTTATTTGATTCTGAAATCTCACAGCCTTCACAAAGAAGCGCCTCCAAGATCACGGGAGATCGCGCGGCGGTGAACCCGGCAGCCGCTGATCCACCAATGCCCGTTCCAGGGTTGCACCATCATCCTAACATCCCCGCTGCAAACCGCCAGCTCCCTCCTGCCGCTAGACTACTGATCAACTGTGGCATCTTCCTCGTCGCCACTGCCGGGTCCTCCATAGTTTTCCACACTGCTGGAGACCCTTCCGCCATCGACGGTCCTGCATATGCCCTTGTTGCATTCTTCTTCGTCCTCCTCGGCTTGTGGTTTGTGCTGCTTGGACCCGTCGCCGGCCAGTTCCCTGGAGCCACGAGGGTCGCCGTTGCCATTGCGAAAGCGCTCAAGGGTTACCTGCTCGGCGGCGGCAATTGATCAAATATTTGATTCATTCTTTATATAGGTATAGCTTTGCTAGCTCACAGTAGTTTTCTGTTTGTTTGTATGTCGTGTCTATAGGCGTTGTAGCCCATAAACTCACTGTAAAGTGTGAAGTGTATATACGTGTTCTTGTAAGGCCCTGTTTCTTTCAGCTTAGGATTATTATAATCTAGATTATTGAGTTAGATTACTATAAGCTAGATTGCTATAATCTATAGTAGAATAAGCGGTTAGTTGTTTCTTTCCTAGCTTATTAGAGCCTAGATTATTGGGTTTTTAAGTCTAAATAGGGAGTGGGGTGGCATGGTGGATAATTTTTCACCCAATAATCTGGAAAAAGCTTACCTAAATGAGCTTATCAGATTATAATAAGCTGGGCTCTAGATTATAATAAGCTACTTCAATAAGTTGTTTGTTTCTTTCAGCCTACTCTCAATAATCTAGATTATAATAATCCTAAGTTGAAAGAAATAGGGCCTAATTACATCTGTACATGTCTGCTCTGTTCAATCCGACGTTTTGATAAATATTAGCTTTTCTGTTTCTCTTTTAATGTTCGGTTTCAATTATGGATACACACAGTTATTTAAAATTGGTAAAGATCGCTTTAACGTACATGTGTCTCGAAAGGGTAAGAGTGATAACTGATTATGTCAAGAAAAAAGTTGAAAAGAGAGATGATGCTACCAATGGTTTCTCTCCAAAGGGTAATACTGATTATGACAGTAACTTGATCCATCTGTAGATTGCATCAAGAGCTCAGGCCTGACCTTCAATTCAATTTGTGATTGGACAATTTGAAAGGGGGATCTTCGGTTTTAAATCATGAAATTCTCACAATTGTTGGTTCCTGGTTGATTTGTGATGTAGGGCAAGAGGACTAGGAATGATGGTGTTAGTCCTTCTCACAAGTTTATTGCAATCATAAGGAAAGTTATTTTCCCCTCAAAACAAAAAGGAAATAATTTTGATTTGATTGGAAGAAGTATAAGCCCAAAAGAAGATAACCCAATAAGTTCTTTACAGCAACACAATATATATTCTTTTTTAAAAAATTATCGAGTCTGTTGAAATTAGATTAGGACTGGAGTTTTCGTGTGAAATCTATCGAGTGAGGAAAAAAGAGGACCGGTATCGCCAGTGTGCCACCATTGATTTCAATGGATCTTACCAGGCCTAATCTAATTCCAAGAATTTCTTTGATTTCGATCGCCAGTCAATAGAATATAGGAGTAGTAGGAATGATCATAGTCTTGCAAGCACAACTGTTTTACCCATATCTTCACACTAGTAAACCATTGCTTTAAAATCCGAACCACTCCGCTCCACACAGTAAAATAAACTATGAAACCAAAAGCTAACAAACTCAGCATTTTTAATTCTCATCTGCTACTTCTTATAATATCAAGTTCTCAAGTTCACCACATAGGACCAATATTATTATGAATCTACTCCCTCCATCTTTAAATACAATTGTTTTTTACAATTTAAATTTGTCCAAAGCTACCTTTTACCATCTCAACCAATCACAACCATGTACCACTTCACTATACTTGTTTTCTTAATCTCCATATATACCTCTAAAGATAGCTATACTTTGGGATGGAGAAAATAGGGAAATGTCTCCTAGATCATATATCTACTAATTCTTTAGAGGAAAATTTGCAAAACTCACCCCATAAAATTACTTGAAGTTTTACGTTCCCCCACATAAATCATTTGTTGCAAAAACCTCCCTAATATACACATATTTAACCGAATCAATTTGTTTTCATAAATTGTGAGCAGTTAACGTGATCTTAATCAAAGCTAAGGCTGTGTTCGGCACTACACTTTCCTAAATTCTACTCCCTCATTATCCATGCACACGCTTTCCGAACTAATAAATGATACATTTTTTTACCAAAAAAAATCGTATAAGAAAGTTGCTTTTCAAGTTTTCATTAAATCACTTTTTAAGTTTTCAAGCTAATACTTAATTAATCATATGCTAATCTACCACTCCGTTTATGAGCTGGGGAAAGTTTCCTACCCCAAGAGAAAACAACCTAAATACTTTTAGGTACTGTTTGGCTAATGGGATAAGGAAATGATTTCCCACTCACCAAAAGACATCTTTAAATCATAACCATTCATTCTCTCTCTTCCATTTAATCCTAACCCTTCATTTATTTTCTAATCCCAATCTCCCCTTTATTTCCCATTATCTAAACACACCCTTAGGAGTATAATCTTGACTTTATTTTTTTTTGAGATTCCATAAATAAAATTGTTGATGAGAGATTAAACAATGTCGCACTTATTTTTGCTATGTACGGTAAAAAAATCGATGAAATATAAAGAATAAATCAAATACAAGTACCTCGATAAGATTGACTCAGCTAGCTTAGTCTGGGGGTACCTCTACAGTAGCAATAATAGCTGATTTGGTTAAGCCAGTGCGCACTGGGTGGTTGTTACATCAAAACTAAGTGGAGTGGTGGGCATTTGAAAAATAAATAAATTACAGGATGGAATGCCAAACTGATGGTCTTTATAACTTTCCATCATTGAAAATTTTGAACCGTGTGTTCAAACCAAGTAGAGTGGTGGGTATTTATAACAAAGTAAGGGTGTGTTTAGTTCACGCCAAAATTAGAAGTTTGGTTGAAATTGGAACGATGTGATGAAAAAGTTAGAAGTTTATATGTGTAGAAAAGTTTTGATGTGATATAAAAGTTGGAAGTTTGAAGAAAAAGTTTGTAACTAAACAAGGCATAAATTACATGGTGGAATGTAAAACTGATGGTTTTTATAGCTTTTTCCATCCTTCAAAAAGTTTGTGCCGTGTGTTTGGATTTCTCCCACAAGGGCTCTCGTGTCAAAATGTGCCGTGCCAGTGTGTGGGGGCAGGGGGTAGGCAGGCCACACCCACACCACCGAGTAGAGCGAGTGTACAGCCACCACGCGTGTCCACCCCTCGCACGAGAGTCTCTCCACCACTCGTCGCCGACTCGTGCGAGCGAGAGAGAAGCCGCTGACTGCACCGCACCGCACCGCACCGCACGCACCCCAAACGCTATCCAACTCTTATCCCCTTCGATCCCCCCTCAACCACGGCATGGCGGCCCTCCGCCCCCGCGCCGCCGCCGCCTCCGCCGCAGTCGCCCGCCCGGTCGCCGTACGCCGAGGCGGCGTCTCCTCCTCATCCCGCTGGAAGCTGCAGGTCCCCCCCCCCCACCTCCCGCCTCTCTACGTTCTCGGTTCCTCTCTTGCCCGTGATGTGTAAATCCACTAGGGGGGATGCGTGGAGTCTCGTGGTTCCTGCCTTCATTGATCGTTGGTGTTCATGGCGGATGATGATTATGATGATGATGACGTGGTATTTTATATTTAGGGGCGGTGCTTTGCATACCGGAGTGATTGATTTGAGATGAGGTGTAGCAAACGACCTCCTGCGCTGCAATTCTTCCCACTCTTGTTTTTGGAAGTTAGGAGCTTTGGTTACGACGTACCTGTACTGCCTAAATGAGAGGTTTTACTTCTCAAGTAGGCTGTTTCAAACTGGATTCGAGCTCTTTACTTAAACTGAGATGTGTGAAAGGAGATAAATTTCTAATGTCTGTTTCTATTAAGTTTTAGTGTTTCCTTGTTACTGCTCAATAGTAGTCTTAGTTTTTATAGCTTTAGAGTGTATGTTTATGTGAAGTAAAACTTATACTTTAGTTTCTCTTTTTTTTTTATTTGTCAGTTGTCGTCTTTCTTCTATCAGTATCCTATCCACTGCACCGTCAAAATTGTTTTCCAGACAAGATATTTCAAAAATTCACTAGTCCACAGCCACAACATGCATCTTTGATTCTTACCGAATTTAGTCTGATTTATTCATGCCCTCTGCATTAGTTTAATCTAGTTGTTGCATCATTGATTTGTGCGTGTGTTTCGCCTAGAATATTGTCATAACAATTGCTGCCCTATCAACTTTGCAACACAGGGAAGTATGTTGAATTGGAAATCTAAATGCAGTACCAGAAGTCCACGGACTACAGTTGCTGGTGCAAAGCCTGATGACTCTGAATTTGAAAGTGTCAATGCACCACTCGAGCCCCAAACGTGGGAAGGAAGCTTCTTGTGTGGTTTGTTGAAGAACCAGCCACAAGTACTCCCAGTTGCTGCGGCAAAGCAACTTCAAGAACTATCTAATCAAAGAAAGGACACCTTGATCCGCTGGGAACATAGCATCGGTTCTCCTGAGGACTGCCTTCACAGGTTAGTTACAAATGCCCTTTGTCAAAAGTGTTTAGTGGTCTCAGGAGGTCGACATGCTGCTATCCTTATTTTTTCCCCATTCAAGTTCTCTGTTATATTTCAAGCGTAAATTGTATTAATTAATTATTAAACAGACAACGTTGCACTTTTGTGATAGAATAAAAAACAGCATTCACTTAGAATGGCATTTTATTTTGTTGTGCTGATGAAGAACAACCAATTAGGTGATACCTCTTCAGTCCATAAGCTACCTGTTATTTGGACATATATGTTGGATTAGAAAATTTCTCAACTAATTACAGAAATAAAATATAGGTTGGGTTAATGAAATCATGTGAATATTGTAGATTGCAAGTGAGGCTTGAAATTATAAAAGCTAGCTTCAATGGTTAAATGATGGGAGACAACCTGGAGCTCTAACGTCATTTCTAGTCTTTTTAATATGAATCATATAGGAGCGTCACTTATAATATACTAGTAAATCTACATGGAAGAATATGGAGGGTCAGGTCTTTCTTTAATCCATTCTAGTTGATACTGCATCGATATTTTTGAGTCACAAGCTTCATTGTTAAAAACTTAAAATTTACCAAATCATTTCATGTAGCTAGCATAATTGTCACTGCAGGTGATCTATATTCGGCACTAAAAAGTCTATATTGTTTGCTCCTTTTATCTTTATATTGTATTTGCATCTGAATATTAATTGATTTGTTGGGACTTCTACAAATAGGAGGATTGCTGAAATGAAGGAGCATGAGTGCCAGACTGCTATTGAGGATATCATGTACACTTTGATTGTTTATAAATTTTTCAAGATTGAAGTTCCATTGGTTCCAAATCTATCAAAGCTTATCAGCAATAAAAGACTACAAATATGGCCACCAAGGGAGGCAGAACTAGAATCAATTCATGGACCTGAGGTGCTAGGTTTAATTAGGGAACACTTGACCAGTATTATCAGATGGGTACATAGAAATGGTCCCAAGATCAATCGCTCAACACTTAGAATCAAAAGAATGCAATTTAGTCGGATTTATTCTGCTTCAATAATGTACGGATACTTTCTGAAATCTGTCACTACAAGGCATCGTTTGGAGCTGATTCTTGCTCAGTCACAAGAATTTTGCCCACCAATTCAGTTTCTGAATGCACAATTTAATAGCACCCAGAAACAAGAACAGGAAGAGTCCATTGGAGGTTCTGCAGAAATATCATCTTCCTCAAAACCGAGTTCTGTTGTTGATCTGCATGACTTGAAGAGTTACATGATGGGCTTTGATCCAAAGACCTTGGAGTTATGCGCAAGGCTGCGCTCATGCGAAGCTTCTAATCTCATTGAGAAGCACAGTTGGGCACTGTTCAGAGAAAGCATGAAAGATTTCCTAGAGCCTGATGAGGCAGTGATACTCGATCCGTCATCCCTAAAGAGATTGTTGCTTGAAGCCATTGCATTTGGTTCCTTTCTTTGGGATGTTGAGGATTATGTTGACGAGATTTACAAGTTGCATGATAGCTGAAAAAAGTACATGCAGGAAACTCCTGATGCCTTGTAAATATTCTTGAATCTTGTATATATGATTAGATATTTAGCTTCTTATGCATGTAAATCTTCCTGTCAAAATTTTGCTATTTCTAGCATCCCAGATTGCCAGGGTGCTGAATGACTGCCGTAATTTGCTACTCCTATAAAGGTTTTGGTACGATTTCTGGAGCCAGGTACACCTCGTACTTGTAATTTGTGTTTTTTTCTCCAGGAATTCCTAACTGCCGCTATTCATTTTTTACATACGGAGTATAGTTTGCAGTCTTTTACATAAGTACTACTGTAAAACTGAAGCTTAACTCGATGTAATCGTTTGAAAGCTTGAAACATTTAATACTACTACCATGTTGTGACTCTCAGAGCACCTGATAACTTCAGTAGTGTTTGGATTGGACCCAGAAAATATGGAACTGACTGAACTCATGCCCAGAATTACACCAAGCAGCATCACTGCTGGCAATTGGACAATTTTCTCATTTGTGACCACATGAGCGACAGAGACTCGTGATGGCGTATGAGAGAAGGATGCTCTGCTGCTCCCCTGGTAACCACTGATTAGCAAATGGATGGTCCAGATCTGAGCCACCATGAACCCCACCACCCCTATGGTTCAATCATTCAACAAAATTGCACAAAACCAAGAATCTCAAATGAGTTTCCAAACATGTTCAGAGCTCCCCAAAGTCCAAATTAATGTGTCAAATGAGCTTCACAATAAAGAAAGAAAGAAATCGACCATGAATTTTTCCAAACATGTTCAGAACTCCCCAAGATCCAAAACCAATGGTAAATCTGAACTTATTTAGGCTGCGTTCGTTTCTCCAACAAGAGTTGGATGAAATTTTGGATACTCATGGCACGTTTTTTAAATTGCTAAATGGTGCGTTTCGTGGGAAAATTATATATATATAAAAATTGCTCTAAAATATTAGATTAATATATTTTTCAAGTTTGTAATAATTAAAACTTAATTAATCACACGTTATTATCACCTCGTTTTGCGTAAAACACTTAATCTTTATCTTTATCTACAGAGATTCAAACACCACCTTAGGTGATGTTCTTTTCTCCTGAAGATGAAGATTAAGTTTTTTACGCAAAACGATGTGGTATTAACGTATGATTGATTGAATTTTAATTATCACAAACTTTAAAAATAGATTAATATAATATTTTAGAGCAACTTTTAATATAAAGCTTTCGTATGAAACGCACCATTTAATAGTTTTTAAAAATATGTCACAAAAATCTTAATTTTCATCCAATTGAAGAAAAGAACGGGACCTGGTAAACCTGGGCCACTCTCCTTCGATATTTGCTCCTCCATTGAACAGCTCCAGAAAGGACACAATGGCAGGTGCCTACAACTGGCTGTCTGGCACTGCATTGAATGCACCTCCTCACTCACTCTCACACACACACACACACAAGAGAGGCTCTGCCTCTGCCTCCTCCTCCATCAAGGAAGGAGTACATCACAGGATACAGATCCAGACTCCAGAGCCCCATAGAGAGAGAAAATTCAGCTACTCCTAGATGAGACCCTGAGTGAGAGAAGAAGCAAAGAAACAACAACAAGAAGAAAGAGAGATCTCCCTCTTCCATCAACAATGCCACCACCATCAATCACCACCACCACCACCAAGCTGTTCTTGCTCCTCCTCCTCCTCCATGGAGGCCACTGCCTGAAGAGCTTGGACATGGCCATGGAGATGGAGATGGATTCAGAGGCTCACAGCAGGATGCTGTGGGAGTCCAGCAGCAGCAACGGCAGGAGGTACATCAGCTACGACGCCCTGAGGAGCGACGTGGTGCCGTGCTCGAGGCAGGGTGTCCCTTACTATAACTGCAGGATCATGACCACCGCCAACCCTTACACCCGGGGATGCGAGACCATCACCAGGTGCAGGGATGTGGATCCGTGATTACTACTGCACTGCCTGCTTGTTTTGCTGGATGATCTTGCCATGAGAGGAATTGCAGGAGTGGCTACCTGAGATGCAAATCTTGGTTTTTATTTTTTTTTTGTTTTTCTTTTACCCTCTCTTCTGTTCTTTCTTCTTCTTTATGTTCTGCATTTGCTGAATCATTGTAGGTGATTCATGGATGATTTACATGTTCAAAGATCTTATGAGTATGTATATGTAAGATCTGGTTGCAAGCTATAATATTATAAGGAAGCTTGGATCAGGGGAGGTGTGCTGCTTTGTGCTTGAAATTGTCGGCATTGATAAGATTTGATGCCATCAATTGACATGGAAATTGCTCCTTTTCTTCGTTTGTACAATTGTACTGGTATGTTAAAGTTGGTATACGCAATTGAGCACGTTGAATCTTTTCGGATGCTCATCGTTTCTTCAATTTTTTTTAATAGCTAGTCGTGTGATGAAACCTGGTTCGTTCTTGTTTAATAAAGATATTGCTTTGCAGTGTTTTCAGGGGAAAAAGACTCAAATTTCACCAATTCATTATTCATGGTGTGATTCCTCCTCTTTTTTCTTGGTGAGGAAATCATCAGTTTGTGTATCAACTTCCGAACATACTGAATTGTACAGAAGAGAAGGGTATAAGTCTGAATAAATTCAGAAAGCACTCTTAATAGATTATGACTGGCACTGTTGCTTCATAAATTCACACATCTACTTGAGTGTCTCAGTAACAAAACAATGAGCATTACTCCGAAGTGCTACTATGTTAGATATTGTAACTACAGACAAGAGATATCACATGAATTTGGATTTTTTTTTCGAGGGAGATTCTTTAAAGAACAGAGATTTTGGTGAGTTAAAAAAAAAAAGAAGAAGACCACATGCTGACCTGTAGTCAGCCACCAATCCTTAATGCAGAGATCACATGGATGCACCGACACAATCACACAAATGTCATCTACCCACATTTCTCCCACCGGCCTGCGCTGCACTCCCCAAATAGTGCCCTACTGCCCTGACAAGAAATTGACTGTTGCACAGTGTGTTTGTATCGCAGGTCAATGACGTTGGCATCGCCATGGCTAAAGTGATCCACATAGATAGACCCACGTAAAGAGATTTTAACTATAGCAATCTCCACAATGTATATAAATACAAGGTAGCATTAGGCCATCAGCAATGGGCACCTCCTCAACCCGTGTCTCTCCTCACGGCCGTCCGCCTCCCGTCGCTTTTTGAGGCTGATCTGTTCCCTAGCAGGGGAGCGCGGCGCCTCGCAGGGGACGCGGCTCCCTCCGCGCCTTGCCTACTTTTTCGTGGGGGGTCTGAGCCAGGCACTGCATTGAAGCGTGGGGAGCTCGTGGACATGGCGCCCTACCCCGATATTTCCCCTTGTACCCTCGCCCTCATCCACAGCCGGCGGCCGGCGACCTCCTCGTCCTCATCTGCCGCCGCTGTCGCCACCGGTGGCTCGCCGTTGACCACCTCGATGGGAGAGAGGGAGAGGGATAGGGAGAGGCAAATGACGGCAGTGAGAGGGAGAGAAGAAGACCAGATCTGGCCACATCTCGCTGTTGACCACCGCATCGGCATGCCAGATCCGCGCGTGGCTCCCCGTCGGTGACAGGCAGAGGAAGAGGGGTGGCGGCGCGGCACACAGCCTCCAGCGATGACCCCACGACGAGAGAGAGAGAGAGAGAGAGAGATGGATCCGGTGGTGGAGTAGGCGGCCCTCCTCGTCGCCCTCGCCGATTAAGCTCCGGCGGTAGCGGCGGCCTTTCTAATCTCCCTCGCACTCCGGCCACATCTGGCGAGGAAGAGTGGATGGCGAGCGGCGGCGGCGGGAGAGAGAGGAGAGAGAGGCGAGCAGCGGCGGGGGAGAGAGGAGGGAGGTGGTGGTGGCGGCGAGATGGGCGACGACGAAGCGAAAAGAAGCGAGAAGAGAGGGCGGAAGAAAAGAGAAGGAAAAGGAGAGTAGGCTGGCAGGAAGGGGTATTTGGGGATTTTTCATCTAGGGATACTTTGGGCCAAGACACCCATTGTGGGCTATAGTATCCTCACCGGGTTGCTTCAGATTTTGAGGAGCCCATCCAGGGGTATCTCCCAGTGTGAGCTGAGTTCCCCTACGAGTGTTCATAGTTAGTGACACTCTAGGAGTGGCTCACATTGTGGATGCTCTTAGGAGATGAGAGAGAAATAGAGATAGATAGTATTATTTATTTATGGGTAGTCCATATGCTTAATGGATATCTTTTGTTGTTTTCTCTATATGGACTAGTTACATAATGTTAATAGGTAGCTGAATAAAATATAATATTATCTATGGACTATATTTGCATCACATTGTGGATGCCTAACTGTCGAAGGTTTCGCTGGATTTTTGTTTCCCAGTTCATATGAAAGTTGAACCAATTTTCATGAAAACTGTTGGAAGAAGTTAGGAGTATTGTTCTTTTCAGCTATTTCACTGGATTAATTTTGTGGATTATCGTATTGCTTAGTTCTCTTGTTTTAAGCTATTTGTTAAGTATATTCATCAAAATATTTAATTTATACATATAATCATCTAGATAATCAACTGCAATAAAACCGGTCTTGGCTGGAGATGTAAATGAGCAACATGAATTAGAATTACAAGAACATTTCAATGGGGTAAAATATTTTTTATGTGAATATCTGTAAAATCAAAGGTGTTTTTTTGGTTATTATTCTATGATGAACAATTGGGCATTGGAGATTATTGGTTTTGTTATTTGGAATTTATTCACGAAGTGGTTTTTGGAAATATTTAGATTCACAGGTGATCGCAGGATTTATTATTTCATGTGACCGGTCAGACCGGGCTGTGCATGCCGGTCAGACCGGCGGTGGTCGAGCGGTCGGACCGGCCAGCTCACGGTCTGACCGACCGACGCTGTGTCGGTTTCGGTTTCGGGTTGTTTGTTTGGATATCCGTGATTATTTCATGATTATGGCTTCTAGATGGATACTATACGTATGTAATACTGTTGTTTGCTAACTCGATGCCTCGGGAGAGTATTTGCGGTGATGGACCGGGAGTCGGCTTGGGGATAAGACGACGTCTGTGGTGGTCAGAGATCATGCGAGATACTTAGGCTAGAGTTAATGCACGTGGTTGATGGAGATTCCATATGGCATACGATGGAGGTATTGTGTGCGTATGAGATGCGGAGTCGAATTTGGAAGGACTCCAAATTTGGTACGATTGGTTATGTAAAGTTTTTTTCTTGTACTAGAGGGTTTCCTAAGGTGTTTAGGACTCTTAGTATGAGTTTGGTTCGTGGGCTTTAGGCTGCCTACCTCGGGTATATATAGAGAGGGAGTGTGAGGCTTCCCGGTATCGCTTTAGAGAGCAATTGAGTTGAGTTTTGAGTTATGGTTTCGAGTTTAGTCGAAATTTTTGTAAGGAGTGCTGTTGGTGCACTTTGTAAACACAGAGAGAATCAATAAAGTCGTCATCTACTTTAAGAGTTCTTCGATTTGTGTTTCATCGGGTTTCGGCGGTCTAACCGGCGATCTACCGGCGGTCAGACCGGCGGCATACGGGCGGTCAGACCGGTGGCAGCGACAGGGGCGGCAGGCTTCTCGGCGGTTCGACCGATCGATCTACATCGGTCAGACCGACGTTCATCAGGCGGTCAGACCGGCGCAATACCTTCGGTCAGACCGCAATCCATCAACTTCGAGGATAACTTTTATTTCCGCTAAAAGTTTTCGGTTTTTGGGTATACCAACCATTCACCCCCCTCTGGTTGGCTTAGTTCTTGTGATTCGATCCTACAATATCATCACTATATGGCCATAAATTTGTGATTAGTAATAAAATTACTTCAGGTTCAACCGTTCAATGGTAGCAGAAGTGACTAAACAAGTTTGTTAAAGAGTCGCAAAACTGTCGCCTGTCGGACACTGGCGCGGCATGAGCTGGGGAGCCGTCTACACGCTTTGAAGGATTTTCAAAGAGAAATGGAAATGAAGTGACAGTAATATTTGTTTAGGATGTGTTTGGAACTACATGTTTTCAACTTCTATTTTCTTATTTTACACGTACACGTTTCCCGACCGTTTAATTGAGTGTATTTTTTAAAAATATTCTATAGGCAAGTTGCTTTAAAAATCGTATTTATAAAATTTCTCAAGCTTTTATAGCTAATACTTAAATAATCATGTACTAATGAGTCATCACGTTTTACGTGTGCAGGAGAGAAATTCCCAACCTTCTCTCTAGAAAGCACCCTTAATCCTTCTCCCAATAGTCTCGACCAATGAAGATCTAATCTCAAAGAAAACAACATGAATTCTACGTGGTTATTTGAAAGTACAGTGTACCCCTACAAAAGATGACACAAGCAGGTTCGACATCGCTAGAATATCTATTATGTTGTGATGAGAAAGCAAGTTTGATTGCCTATGTGAGTGCTCAGATTCTAATCTTGGTAGGTATCTGGTATATTTGGTGGGAGAAAATTGGTTCATGGTGAGAAGGTGCAAGAACCAACGAGGGCGGCAATGGCTATTGGTGTACTCCCCTAAACTATTGAAAAGCCAACCCGAGGAATATAGGCATTGCTAGATCGGGATGGTGTCAACCATAAGAGGGAATGGTTAAATTGAATGTAGATGCCATTGCCAGGAGATGTTCTTTGGGATGATAAAGTAGAGTACATAGCATTGGCAAATGATCGCATGGAGTATTACTGCGGAGATTCATGCCTTGAGGAATGGAATTTTACTAGCTAGAGGTCAACAAGTTGATCGAATCATCACTAAGTTAGATTGTATCGAAGTCATCACAATGATGCAAAATGGAGGGTTCTCGACGACAGCAGCTGCGGCGATCTATAATGAATGTGTGGTTCTTTCTGAAGCTTCTACATTGGTAACTCTTGTTTACTGTCCTAGAGAGGCTAATTTAGTTTCTCACGAGCTTGCTAGAGCAGCCTGGCTTAATCCACCATCTATTTGGTTGGAGGAGCCAGTAGCTTCAATTAAGCGGTTAGTGAGCGATGTAACTGCTCTTTGATCTAATAAAGTTATGAGAGTTTTCCTTTTCTAAAAAAGGACGGCACGTAAGGTAAAAAGGTTACGTGAAAAGCACATCAATGTTGTTGTGGTTGCAGCAGCGGTGCCACACGCTCCTCACAGCATGTGTGGGCACCGCCAGGCCAGACCGTCCTGTACAGCTAGTGTAATGGCTTTCTCCCTTTCCCTTCCATGGCGAGACCTAACGCCGCACAGAGATCCCTACACAATTAAACGCTAGTAGCCGCCAACGCGCGACGCGTACCGTCACGTTGCAATCTACAGCAGTCGGCGTATTGGCAATGCGCT